GCAGCCCCTACCTCCTATTATTTTTTATCCTCTTACCCGGCTTTATTTTCTTCCTAGTTCTTATTCCCACTTACATGCCATATATGTATTTATTGTCTGTCTTCCTCCACCTAAATACAAGCTCTTTGAAAGCAGAGACTTTGTCTGACGTGATGATTCCCATCCCCATTTAGGGCCTAAAACAGTGTCCAGGCCATGGCCAGTACTCGATAAATATGCATTGAATAAATGAGTTATGCTTCTTCTTCCTCACTTTTCTTTTTCCTAATTATTTTACCCCCTGCTTCAGAAGTCATAAAATCCTCAAATAACAGGTTGATTCTAGTAGGATGTCGTTCTCCCTGAAGTGCCTGGCACACAGTCGAGTCCAACACCAGGTCTGGGAACTTGAGTTAGGTTGAGAAAGGATTTTCAGTCAGCTGGTTCTCCAGAAACACACTATAAGGCAAGGAAGACACTTAGCAGGATTCTAAAGCCATGGTAAAGGGAGAGGAGTGCTTTTTGTTTTAGGGAATTGGTTTAATAGTTCTACTTTTTAGTAGATCTAAATCTACTTTTAGTTCTACGAAGAGAAGCCTAAGCCTGGGCGGACCGGAAGAGTCTGAGAGAGCATGCTCTCACTCTGTTTGAAAAGAAGTCCAGGCGGAGAGGTGTTTGTATGTTGACATTTCTAGCTCCCCTGTCTGGTGCTGAAAAAACAAAGCTGAGCAGGTGCTGGGAACTTACGGAGGAAAGGAGGGTGGAGGGGTCAGTCTATTCGATGTGGCAGGAAGACCAGGCTGAAGAAGAGATCAGGAGGGGCTCCTGGCAACGCTGGGTGCTTCACATTCAGCTTTGTTTTATTTCAGGTTCTTTGAAGAAATTTTCCTCATTAACCCCAAGTTTTCAACAAAAGCTGTGTTAACCATTACCAGGGTCAGCCTCGTGTTGGCACTGTCTTAAGGAATTGAAGGAGAGTTGTGTCTGCGCTTTGGGGTGATGGAGATCAAAGGGCCTAGGGAAGTGTGAAGAAGTAGGTCGTGGTGAGGTGGCCGGAGGTGATGGAGGAGAATCCAGAAGCAGGGAGTCAGAGACATCAGCCAGGAGAATGTAGTCATCTATGGAAATTCTTGGAAATTGGGGATAAAAAAAACATTTCTTGCAATCAATACATCAGCATTTGGGCAGTAAAGGAAAAGAGACTCTGAAATAATGGCAGATTTAGGGAATGGGTCACCCTAAATCATGGAATTCAGATCTGAAACTCAGTGGTTATCTAGTCTTCTAACTTTATTTAACCACAGAAATCTTGTCATCAAGTGACTTATTATAAGGAACCCCATGTGTAAAACAGACCGAATGGGATGCGGGTCTGAATTTGGACCCACTAGGCTTTCCCGCTGGATCCCGCATTGGCTCGCAGGCATCTGTGGGATCCTAGTACCCCAGCAGCACCACTTGAAAACCACGGGTCTAGAACTCAAAGTAAGAAGCTGCCCTTTAATAATGCAGACAGTCGATGATTGAGTCTGACTTCCAAGGTTCATTACCTGCTCAGCAGCCTGTCCCTGAGCCAACAGCCACTGTCGGGGTGTTCTTCCTTCTCTTGAACCAAATTCCTCAACCCTGGAACTTCTACCCACTGATCCTAGAGGAAAATCAAAATTAGCCCAACTCCTTCCACATAACAGCTCTTCAAACCTTTGAAGACCTCTTTTATCCTTCCCCAAGATGTCTTTGTTCCAAGTTAAACATTCTTAATCTTCCAACTATTCTCAAGCTATTCTTACAGTTCATATGCTGTTTAGGAATCTGAAACTGCTGATATCAAAACAAACTCAGCTATAGATAGTGAGTTCACTGAAGACCAAAGTAAGTTTACATGAAAGAGAGGCACAGCCACATACACTTCGAGGGTCCATGGGGTGAACAATGAGAGGGGCTGATCTCCCATGCTGAAAACCAGCCCAGAAAATGTGTTGCCTCCTGAGCACTGTGAGGGAGCTGGAAATCAAATCTAACTTCCCACACCAGGAGTTGCCAAATCCAGGACATGCGAATTTGGCTATCAGCAGCACAGACACTCAGCTCTTACTGCTGTTATTCTTGACACACCTCGCAGCAGCTGAGCTCAGGAATGCAGGACATTAAGTGCCTAGCATGGGTTCATTTTGGCAAGTCTTAATTGACTACATGTGTATCCACAGAACTACTGATCCTTGCCCAGGGAGGCTAGTTTCAAAGGTTAGGGCTGTTTGCATAGCTGGAAAATGCCTATGTGAGCAGCTTGCTATGAGAGCCCCACAGCACCCACTACCAGAAACAAAATTTGGGCGTCCTGGTGCCAAGGAGCTTCACATGCACACTGGTTGGTGGTCTGAGGCCTGGAGACTGTGTGCATACTGTGCAGCTCAACAGTGGGAGGGCAAACGAGCCTGCACTTGTGACACCAGGGTCCCTTCCAAAGCCTATCCTTCCTCTATGAGGCTCAGGATACATACTATACCCTTTGCCTGTGATGAAGCTCTTCTGTGAGTATAAACTGATTCAGTCCTATGAGTTCTCACAGTGATTGAACACTTGAACTGATTAATGGATGATAAACACAGTAAGGATGAGATGGGACTTTAGCTACAGGCCACTCCAAGGCCTGAAGGATGCTTCTGATGGGAGAGTGTTAGAACTCGGTGCTTCAAGCACATCATGTTATAAGTGGGTGCGATGAAGTACGGTACTTCAGTTCTGTTGGATGTTATGGAAGCACCTCCAGGAAAATAACAGGAACACGTTCTGGTTTGCTCCAATGGAAAAGTATTTCTACCTTTGACAAAGAACAATGTGTCCATCGGTGTGGCCCTGTGTGTACGTGACAGAGAGAAGGACCACAGTGTTAATCCTCATTTCTTTTTCTTTATGCCCTACAAACTCCTTTATTTTGCCTTTGTACCTCTTAGAAGAATTGTATGAAAATCTTTTCTCCACAAATAGAATGTTATAGACTCTTTTGAATCCGAATTAAGGTCACTGGTACTGGAGAAAGAATCAAAGGTGACCCCGTAACAGCATCAACAACAAAGCAGAGGCTTGTGAAGGAAGTCAGGTCTGGAGGGAAGGGTGTGTGTGTGTGAATGTGTGCATGTGTGTGTGTGGGAGAGTGTGTATGTGCGCGAGTACACCACACAGATGCAATTTTCACACACTACATCTACATGGGAAACATGATCAGTGATATGAAACGAAACAAAATAGAATCATTTTATTCTCAGCTGTATCTAAATCCACGCTCTGCCACCCGCCGGCTGTCACTGTGCACAAGTTACTTAACTGCTCTGAGATGGGTTCCCTCATCTATGAAACGGCAATATTCTTTACTGTGCAAGGTTCCGATGAAGATTAAAAGAGATAATACATGTGCTACACATGTCATTAAACTAATAAACACTGCTGAAAGATTTCCAGAAGAGCAATGTTGACCAAAACATGCTGACATCCTCTCCTGTCTCTGAGGGTATGAGTTATGTGAAGATAAAGGACAAGAAGAAAGAACATGGACTCAGGGAAGGATCAAGAAGGAACAAAGTGCTTGAGGATGTGGGGAAATAGCATTAACTTCATTCTACTCACCAGCACTAGAATAATTCCCTAGGAACCAACCAGGAGATGTCCTCTCGATCAAACGTGGCTCTCCTGGCCCCAGAGTCCTGCCTCCCAGCACCTGCTCGCCATGGAGTCAGAGGCAGGAGGGCCACTCACTGGGGACATGGTGGAGGGCCGGTCTCTGAGGATCTCTGGAGTCCCTCAGCAGGAAGTCTCGTAAACTACAAAATGCTGTGCCATCTCACACGCTAATTTAATCTGGTGTTTGTGGTTACCCTGAGAAGAAGGTGTCCGGGATCTGAGCTGCCCAAAGTCATGACCGGGCAAGGGCTGGATCAAGACCCCAGCTCCTGTGTCCAGCACCTGTATTTCTCATTTCCTTGGACGGCTTTCCCGGGGCCATGGGAGCTTTCAAGGAATGCAACCTGGAGAGGTGGGAGATGGGAATTTATGCTCCCACCCCTGGGGCAGTGCTCAACTAACAGGTGATGGACAGGGGCACTTAAATGCCAGCCTCTGGTTTCCAAAGGTGACCCCAACACAAGTCAGCCCCGGGTGCTCAGAGAGATAATAGCCACTAATAACACAAGCCCTTCACTGGCTCTCCCCCTTCCCCTGTCACTGTCCCCACTTCCTCCTGTGGGCTTCCCGCACTCACCTCCTATGTCAAGAACCAGCACTAAATCTTTATCTTTAGTTCTACTTTTGGAAGAACCCAAACTGAGGCAAATTCTAAAGTTCCCATGGTTGCTGCTGTGGTTATTGTTTTTAATTACACCACATTCCTGTCCCCAAAAGCAATAATACCCACAGGTTGCTGATAACACTTTTAGGGCTTCAAAAAAGTGAAGGTACTGTTTCTGACAAAGCAGCAAGTGATTCCTCCTGTTCCACCAAGAGTCTATCTTGCCATCAGCTGCTCTAATTTCAAAGCAGGCTTTGAAGAGTTCCGTTAATGAAGTTATAGGTCCAGTTTGGATTTTCTAGCTATTGAACAGGTTTTAAAATATATTCCCAAAGTAAGATATTATTTCTTGATTCAAGAGAACAAGTGAATTCATGTTAAAAAAAAAACCCCTATAAATATGATCCAAGTAGTATAGAAAGTAAGAGCAATCATCTCAACATGCATGCTAGATTTATCAACTTTGCACACATATTTTAGGAAGATTTTGAAAGATTTCAATATAATCTAAAAATGACCTAGCACTTTTCCTTTAGTAAAAAGGATATTCCCAGCTTCTGGTAGTTGACTGTAAGTTTGAGCTGAAAGTGTTTCTATTTCAAAACATACACGTGTAAAGTTCTCATGTGGATACTAGCAGCAGCCAACCCGCTGAAGCGTGATGGTTGTGTACCCTGCGGTTGGTCCCGGTCCAGAGGTGCCAGCTGGTAAGACACCGATAACAAGTTCGGACAACATGTTTTGTTTAATAGACTCTATCCATTTATTTAACAAAATGGAAATATCTAATATTTAGCACTTTTCTACATTTAAAATTTCAGGGTTCTATAGCATATATTATTACAAAAGAGTTCATTATCAACTTAGAAGGGTGGAAACACTTTCTCTAGTGATTAGGATTCATCATCCTTTAGTGAAGTGAGGTGACATTTTTCTTCTGGAAAAAGTCCGTGTCTTGTCAGAGGAGAGGCACTACAAGCACAATCCTCCCTCTCCGCTCAGACCTGTCCTTCTGCAGATTTCTTTTACCAACAAAGCAGGTGGAAGTCCATTTCTCTATTTTGGTTCCCAAGTCAGGTCCGAACCCTTTTAATTTAGGGAAAAACTCAAACACGCCTAAACCTCAGGGCGGAGCTTGTTTTTCCATCCTCTTCACTCACATGCTGCCCTAGGAAGACACGGTTTCTTGGTGGTTGTGCTCACGTGTGGATCACCGTGCATGTAGCTGTTATTAGCGTGAGTGTGTGGGAGACGTTTTGAATGATGTATAGCATCCAAGGGAGAGAACAGACCCCTAAAATTCAAATCATTGCTCTTTTGAACTCTGAAAGCTCATGATCACTTGTGCCTCGCAGAATCTGGGGCCTCTATCCCCAGGTGCAAAGTACATTTTCCAGGTTTCTCCAGGGCAAAGGCAGGGTGAACAGCCTCATTAAACCTGTGCCTAACGATGAAGAGCAACTGCCCACTTTCCGCATTTATGAACAGAAGCCTCTGGCTGGTGTGGTCCAGCAGAATACCCACTCGGGTGGGATGCTCAGTCACGTGAACGTCACTCACAATGCCACTGTAGAAAAACGTGTATCTGGAATGAAATGGAACAGAAAATTAAAAACTTCACAAATCTTGAAGGACCATGATAAAGAAGATCACTTGGAGATAATGAATCGTTTCAGTTATTAATTTCCTTCCACAATGAGCTGCAGTAATGTTGTCCCAAGTACTTTAGCCAGATCCCTCCCAGATGCTCTAATGCATAGCTCATTCCAACAGATGAGCATTTTTAATAATTTTGCTCCTTCTACATTAGCAAGTAGTCCCAGAATAACCAACATATGTCTCCCTTGTGATTTTTCTCAACATTCTAATTCTCTCCCAGCTGCCCACATGTTTTAACTGCCACATTCATGGTGTGTCATTCTTTTGAATAAAAGTCCTTTGAGGCTGCCATGTATTTTTAAAAGTACTGCTGGTTTGCCTTTCATAAAATATGTTGATTTTACAGTTTAAAGATTTATAATAACTTGCATAAAGGCTTTTATGAAGTTCAAGACATATTTTGCTATTTTTGCCCTGCTTTGGTCTTTGTATAAGCTCCCCTTCTTCCAAACCAACTTTCTTCTTCATCTTCTCCATGTTTTTGCAGCCTTGCTGCTAATGTGGTTGCCTTTGATTTAGCTCTCCACTTGAAATAAATTTAATTTGACAAGTATTCACATGGGCATATCTGTGTATTCAGCACTTTTCTGGGTCCTCTGGGAGTATGAGGGACCAAAGCCTACTGTTTTTAACCCCCAGGAAGCCTTGCTCTGCTGAATAGGAAGAAGTTGATGATGACTTGAACACTGGCTAGAGCTGAGACTCCAGCTCGGGGCACAGACTGGCAAAGTGTTCACTAAACACATCTAATGAGACTGTTTTGGCTGTGAGAAGACAGGTCCCAGGCCAAATTGGGAAGAAGTTGCTCAACAGAAGTAGCTAAATTGCTCTATGCAAACAAGTGGCACAAATTTGGAGGTTTTGCCTGCCCATCCTAGAAATGGAAGGTGGGGCCCTGAAAGCAGGGGGAAGGAAGAAATGAGATAGGGAGAGGAAAAGGAGAGATGAGGGAAAGTTCTGTGGATGTGGTAGGTCTGAGGGATGGAACCCTAGAATCTGCGTTGGTGACTCTGGTATGGAAAAGAGGTGAAGAACTTTGAAGACCTTGTGATGTCTCTTAAAGGCCCAAAAGCTTAAGTGTTGGTATATCTAGAAAATGGCCAGTTGGCAACTTCATTGCAGAATGAAGCTCATGTGAAAAGGCAAAGGTTTACGGGAATGGGAAGATAAGCAAGACTTAAATGATGATAAAGGAACCTGTAGAGCAGACAAAGGTTGCAGGTGGCAAGGATGGGGACCAGCAGTGCAGGCTGGGGCTCTTACAGGAGGCTTGGGGAGCGGAGGGGCTCATACTCAGCCATGAGAATGGTCAGGCTGCACAGATGGAAAAGAAGAAAAAGGAGATCCAGGAAGTGGGGCAACAGAAACAATGACAAGGTGGCAGAATAAGCCTGTGTATCATGGAGCACATCACCATCCGCCAGACGGGTTTGGAGGGGATATGTGAATGACATTAAGGATATTTCATGGATAGGAAAGTCAGGAGCCAAGAACTAGCCACATGTGGCCACTTAAAATTAATTAAAAGTAAATAAAACTCAAAGTGCTGTTGTTCAGTCCTACTAATCATATGCCAAGTGTTTGGTAGCCACATGTGACACCATTTTTCTATTTTTGCAGAATGTTCTGTTGCGCAGCACTGGTCTAGAGTTCTGAATGCCCAAGTGAGCCATACTCCTACCCTGACACAGAAGGCCCCCGGTGCCCGCAGGCCCAGCCCCAGGCAGCCCCTCCCCACCATGGAGGCCAAGGAGACAAAGACCTTCCTTGAAGACTCGGCTCCACCAGTTCCACAGGGCCTGGAATGGGCCCTGCCCTGCTTCTGCCTCCATTTCCTCATGACTTCAGCAGTTTCTTCTCCAACCTGAACTCTGGCCTAAAACTAAGCCTGTCTGCCCGGGGCCTGATTCATTGTCCAGCTTCTGCCTGTTCCTCCTTGGGACTGCTGGTTCCTAGTCAAACAGGGATCACCCAGAGGCCTGACTCTAGACACTTGTGTGACCCCAGAGCTGCCTGTGCTAGGACCCCCACCATGAGCTGGACACACCCCGGGGGTCTCACTGCTGGCCCAAACTGAGCCCAGCCCCCCTTCAGCCCCCACAGCTCATTGTTGGTTGCCTGGTCACATTCCTTCTGACTTCACCTCTTCTCTGTGATCCCCCCTGGTTCTGATACCACTGTGGATGTTTGTAGATTTTGGGGCAGAAGAGGATGGGACATGATGAAAATGAGGTTTTAGAAATAGTTGCTGGTTGCGACACAGGAGAGCCTGGGGTGGGTGGGGACTAGAAGAAGGGCCCAGGCATGGAGGCTGTGGGCGAGGCTGGTAAGGAGCTGTGCGGCCATGAACTAGGGCAGTGAGGTTAGGAACGGGCTGATTCTCTTTTTCCTCCGACTCTCTTCATTTCTCCTTTCCAGTGTGACTGACATCTTAACGCTTGGATTCTATGCAAGTAGAATCAAGAGCAACAGTGTTTGGTTTAAAATCAGGAAGCCAGAAAAAGTGAAAAACGTAGGAGCGTCTGCTACAGCTGTTTCCTCAGCATCCTAAAGGCCAGGAATGTTCTATTTGAAACATGAAGGCATTTGAGACCTGACCCCTCCGAGCTGTGATCTCACAGGTGGGCATACTCTTTCTCCCGGAATTTACTGAACCTGCCCTGGACCTGAAAGAGCTCAATTCCAAAGTCGTTGAAATGGTTGAACAAGACATAAAATTCTGTTTTGTAGAATCTAGAAATTTGTTGTCAGAGGCTAGTCTTTGGTTTGCATCCTAAAGGGTTCAAGTGTCTAAAGACTTTTTAAAAATAAAATCAATGTTGGTTTCACGTCTAAATCTGATTATAAACTCTAGGTTTGTGTGATTTTTAACTCTGGGCAGGAGCTCAGTCCTTAAGCATTGCATAGTGCTGAGTATCAACTAATCTTAATTACTCTGACTTGAAATGCCACTTTACATAGCTCTTGGAGATGGTGTCCTTATGAACCATGTCAGAGAATCAAACTGCCAAGTAGGATGCAGGAAGAAATACGCAGCCAGAGACTGCAAAATCCCAACCTGTGGGCTTTTGTCTGGGAACTTGCTAGCACTAACGACTTTCTTTTTAAAGCATTACATTTGAATAACATCCCACATTGTATGATACTTTGCAGTTTCAAAGCTCTTCCCTGTACCTGATTTCAAGTGATCCTCATAAGCCCAAAAGGTAGACCAGACATCACTGTCCCCTGACAAGACGGATGAGGCCTGTGCTCCAAGGGTTACCCAGCTTCTGGTAAGTGGCTAATAGGAAGACAGAACCAGGACTAAAAGCAGGCTTCTGGCTTTCAGTCCGTTGCTCCTTCATTCGACCATGCTGTGAGCATATTCAGACCATAACACGGCTGCCCTTAATTCTCAGAGATGGACACAGGTTAATAGTTATTTCACTTCAACCAACTAGACAATACTAATAACACAGACCAGAGGTTTGCAAACTTTTTCTCTAATGGGCCAGGCAGAAAGTATCTTAGGCCATTCAGTCTCTGTTGCAACTAGTCAACTCTGCCATTGTAGTACAGAAGCAGCCATAGATAATATGTAAACAAATGAGCTCGACTGTGTTCCAATGAGTTTATTTACATAAACAGGCAGTGGGTCATATTTGGCCTATGAGCTGCAGTTTGCTAATCCCTGATATAAACCAGGGTGGGGAGGGTAACGGGGATCCACTTCTTCCTCACTCCTGTTGACTTCTCCACCGGGAGGGAGCCCATTTAGCATTCCCCTGTGGAATGTCCCCACTCTCAGATGAGTTTAGAAGGAAACACTGGCCATGCATGGGATGCATGGCCCGACAGCTCCTTCCTATTCCCTCTCTCTTGATTAGGAGCATCCAAAGGAGATATACATCCTTCTCTGCTTCTCCAGGGACCAACTCTGCCTCTATCTATTAATAGTGTTCAATATTAAAAAAAAAAAGAAAGAAACAACCCAAACAACAGGAAACCCCTTGCTCTCAAGTACGAGCCACATTTTCTAAAATTGACTTCCTCAGTAATAAGAATAAAAGCTTAATCTCTATATACCTGCCTTTCTTGTTTTCTTTCTTAGTTGGCTCAGAACTTGGGCAGGGAAGTAGGATGCCATTTATCAGGCCCTTGGAGTTCTCTGCTTAGACATCAACCCATGATACCTTGATGAAGAGGGGAGGAGTAGGGCTCCAGCTTACCTCTGCGGCTCAGAGCAGTGCATGTACCATGAGGTCTCCCCTTGTCCCACTGCACCGGCCTGCACAGCCGAGCTGGAGCAGATGCCGAGTCGATACGCCGGGCAGTCTGTGACTGTGGTTTCCCAGTAATGCTGGCCATAGGCAGGCAGCTCTTCACCCAGCACTGACGGGATTCTGTAGGCAAGGTGAATCAGGACTTGCTAGCCTTTATGTCTTTATGTTTTAGACATTACCGTTCACAAACTCACACACAGTTTAAGCAGGACTCTGTCCTCAGGCACTGCTGGCTTTAACTAAAGACATCCGTTGTTCATTGTGCCCCCAACTTTGACTTGACTGACACAGAATTCCCTAAACTCTCAAAAGGCATTTGACATATTTCCACTGCCATATACAACATGCATATACTGCACATTGCCTCTCTTGAAGAAGCTGGGAACCAGAAAATAACAGGAATAATGCAGGACAAAAAAGAAATGGCACAATCTCTGCCTTTCAAGAGGTTGAGAGAATACAAGGGAAGCAGGTGGGGAGTTCTAAGAACACATGGCTTGCAAAGTCTTCTTACAAAACTTGCCAAAAAGACTCTCCAAACCCTTTTTTTTAACAGCGAGTTCCAGTGCCTGCTGATTTAACTGGGCACAGAGGCCAATGAGGTGCTGCTCTTGGACAGCAAGACGGCTGGCAAGGCTCGCGCAGAGTGCAGTGTGGAAATCAGCCGGGTGTGATGAGGTGATGAGTGTGCTTTTTAAAGGCTTGTGGTCGCCAGTCTTTGGGATTCTGGCCTCTTGGGATTTGTAGTAGGTGCACCTGAAAGGTTGTTGAAAGGTCTCTTTTTGTTCCACCTTAGCTATTTTTGTAAGAGGCACTGGGAAAGGAACTGAAGCACTTTCAATTGCTGATGGGTAACCTTGTTTGCATGAACTGCTCAATGTTGCTTTAAAATGGCTGAGACAGCAAGGAAGCATTTTTAATGTGAGCAACGTTAATTTTCAGTCAGCACTCCTCTCCCCTTTAGTAGAGGAGAAAATGATTAAGGTAATGGAATTGGTTTCACTTTCCATGTCTTCCCCCAACCACAGGTCAGAGAGGTGGCCACCACCAGGCCCTTGCTCTCTGGAGCAAAGCCCGCCTCCCTGACATCTGGGAGATAATTTTTAGGTTAACCAATAAACAAAATTCTATAAGATACAGTACAGTTATCATCAGTTATTATATATGAGCTCTTACCAACCAGTGTATTTCTTTTCTTTTTGATTTTTTGAGAAATTTTAAGAAAGACATAGAAGCCCAATCTATTCAATCTATTTTTTAAATTTTTTTTCTGAATTTACTCATTAGTGTATCTTTTGCATCTGCAGTGTTCTGGGCCCCATGTTAGATTCTGAGGATTCCAAGATGCAGATTCTAGGGTTGCTTCCTGAGGGTTATTCAAAATCGAGGGGCTGACAAATGACTCTATACATGTTCAGATCCTTCACAGATCAAATTAAAGGGCTCCAGGGCCCAGAGAAGGCTTGGCCATTTCCAGGAAGGAGCAGGTAACATCTGAGCTGGGCCAGACACGGGTGAATGGCACTCTGAGAGGAGAACCGTGCGAGTCCCTGTTGTTCAGCTCAGAGCTTCACTGGGAGTGTTTGCCGGCAGCCCGCACCAGCGCCAGCAGTGGCCTGTGTTTCATGCAAGTTAAGGTTTTCAAAAGCCTTTCACGTACTTTCTTCCATTTGACCCTTAAAAATAGCCATGAGTGATTACAGGCAGATTGCAGAGCAGGCTCCCCACTGTGCACTCAGGTTTGAGCGCTAGAGGTGTTGGGGATGGGCAGGAAAGCCTGCATGGGCCAAGCTAGAAACTCCACAAAATGCCACTCTCTTCTATTTCTTTCCAAGTGGACAGATGCAAGATCTGGGTTGCTATTGAAAAACAATAGAAGAATTAACCCGGATTCTTTTTTCCTTAAACCAGAGATAATACCTTAAAACAGCCTATGTTTTAAACAAACCATCTGTGCTTATATTTCCAATAAAAATATTGACACTACCTCTGTCACTTTCCCCTTCCCCATAATGAACCATAATGAAACTGTACAGGTGAGCACACATTTATATTCAGTACCACACATCCAGGCATGTTCATTAAACCAAAACTATGCACAGTGAGGCCACAGTGCAGTGACACACCCTCCAAATGTTCTATTGCAGACTTTCTTCTACTCACTCTGTCAGTCGTCTTCTCTCAGAGAAACTGATCACTGTTCCGTCTGAAGAAATTTGCAGAGCAGGATGAGCTGTTTCTCTCAACAAGCGAAATCTGGTTCCTATTGCGTTTAGAAAATATGATTATAACATCACCACAATGTCAAGCGCTGTCCCATATTTCAGACCTTAATCTGCCCTTCTTCTGACATCAAAACAGCCCATTGTTTTTAGATCCACAGTGAAAATTTCAAAGGCACTAGTGAGCGCCAGTGGCTGGTTACCTCTATTGGTGTGTGCATCCTGAACTAGAACTTGCTGTGCTATGCAAGGTGTGCTCCTTACACTAGAGCACACACCACCTGAACTTGAGTTAGAAATGCAGAATCCCAGGCACCATCCCAGACCTACTGAATCAGAACCTGTATTCTATAAGAACCTCAGGAGATTCATGTGCACGTTAAAGTTTAAAAATGCACTGGGGTGACCTGAAGGCGTGGTTCCAATGGTGGAAGGTACAGGCACCATGTAGCGACTGTAGGGAAAACATTTCTGGGCAGGCAGCCCGCCTGTCTTCTCCTTATAAATATCGGGCAGTCCCTAACTACATCACAAATGAGACACATGCACGAGTTTTTGCTGGTTAAGCACATCACTTAATGTGCTAACTCAATCTTGTGCCATCCTTGGGTTTAGGATAAAATAATGAAATGATTGCCTTTCCAATCCCCAGTTCTTTTCACAATAATTGAGAACAGCCAAACATTTTTGTTGGCATAATCTGGATTATTTTCTCCAAAATGTCACTGAACAGTTTTATCACCTCCCTGTAGTTATTGTTCACCTATTCAATAAACATTAGTTGACACAAACTATGTGGTGTGCATAAACAGAGAAATAAGACAGAAGCTCACAATGCAATAAAATAAGAGTATCCCCAACCCCCACACACTCAAAACATACAAATCATAACACATTGTGGGGCAAACAATAATCATCTGGGGAAATTAAACACACATCAGAGCCCACCCTCAAGTCAATTAGATCAGGATCTCCAGGAGTAGGGCTCTGGCATTGGTATTTTTTAAGCACCCTGACAGACTGCTAGTGGGTAGCTAAGGTTGAGGCCCTTCAAATCAGAAAAATAAAAGAAACATCTTGACCCTTGACCAATCTGGGGTCCTCATGCCGAAAGCCTAGCCCAGCCAGCAGTTTGGGACCTTTAAGAGGTTGCCTTCAAGGATGCCTTCGCTGTGTAGAAAGGAGAAAGTACCTCTGGTAGAAATGAGTGCAGCTTCACTCTGTTCGCTTGTTCCAAATGTATTGATGGCCCTCACGTAGAAGAAGTAATTATCATTGGGCTGGAGGTTAACCTTCAGCTGGAGTCCTTTAATTCCAGAGAAAGATCTAAATACAGAGGGAGAACAGTAATTTTAAACATAATGCAAGGTGTGCTCCTTATACCAGAAGCACACATCACCTAGAAGTGAGTGAGAAATGCAGAATCCCAGGCCCTACCCCAGACCTACTGAATCAGAATCTTTATTTTGATTTTGTTTTTGTTATATATCATGGCCTAGGGCATTTATACAAATAAAGCACACACGTGCTCTTCCATTTGGCCTCCATTTGGAGAGGCTTTGCAGGGAGTTACAAGTTAGTTTTTTACTAATGAAAGAATTCTTGCCCTGGCTGGTGTAGCTCAGTGTATTGAGTGTGGGCTGCAAACCAAAGGGTTGCTGGTTTGATCCCCCGTCAGAGCACATGCCTGGGTTGCAGGCCAGGTCCCCCGTGGGGGCCATGTGAGAGGCAACTGCACATTGATGTTTCTTTCCTTCTCTTTCTTCCTCCCTTCCCCTCTCTCTAAAAATAAATAAATAAAATCTTAAAAAAAAAAAAAAAAGAATTCCTAACCCAAGTAAAAACAGTCCTGTTCCTGGGAGAAGGTGGCAGCCAATGAAAACAGCAACACAGTGGCTTTCAAGTTCATTCTCAGGAGAGGGTTTTGTAAACATCTGTTTGCTTTGTTGTTTTTGCATTTCTTTCTGTTTGTTTTATTGTTTGTGAACATACCACAAAAGCTTCAGAATCAAGGAGTTGCCACTACTCATTCATAGATTTTTTTCAAGGTTATTTCTACTTCTGTTGATTTATTTCACTTATCACTACCTACCTTAGACAATAACATGAAGAATCGGGAAAAAGAAAAAAAGTAATTGACTCAGAACACAAATTAATTTAGAAGTTTTTAAAACCATGAAATCTTTATAGAATAACAAGCTTCCTACCCTCTCCCCTCTATTTCTAAAAGTACAAAAACTACAATGTGTTCCTCAGAAAGAAGGGGGAGGGGAGAGGAGCAGCCTGGGTCTATTTATGTATCTGCTCTTTAGTGCCCATGTCTGGGAAAGGTCAGTGAGTGTACACCCCTCCAATGTTATTGGTTGTTATTTTAGAACATACCATCTGACCAGAACCTGGGGGAGCATGCTATCTTTAGATGTGCTGAGAATGGGTCCGTGCAACTGAGCCACATGTCCACTGACAACTAATTACACTTCAGTTAATTAAAGAAAAATGTGTCCTGAAATTGAGAATTTAATTCTCACTATTATCTAGAATATCATTCTGGGGTAAATGTATGGTTTATTTAATTTAAATTGATGGCTGAAGAGAGTTTTAAATGTATATTATTTATAGTAAGCAGTAAAATTACTGTCTCAATAAGCACACTGGGGTCTGAACTGAATTTCAGACTTCATTCACTCATTAAATAAATATTTATTGATTGCTTATCATGTGCACAGCCCTGTCTCTGCCTGAGGGTAAGTTAAGTAAATAAGGAAATTTCATCTCTAGAAACTAGATAGAACTTACTGACTTCATTTTGAAACGATGCAGTTGTTAAATGCCAAGGATGCTGTTTTGGGGGTATTTCCTCTTAAGTTTTATGAAGTTTGTCAAGGAGGAAATTCCACATATGGAATCAACTGCATGCTATGTTTACGAAGGTATATAAGCCAATACAGGGTCAGATCCTTCTTTCGGTGCCTGCACAGGTCATGCAGACTTCACAAACACGCACAGTGACCTCACTGAGACTATGAAACAGAAGCACCAGGCCTTTAAGTGAAAGTATGTGGTAGTGTTTTATTGTTTTTAAGTTGCCATCATATGATCAAGAACCAAGAACAAAGCAAAAATGCTTAGCTATAAATGGTTCATTTCCATGACTATTTATTTTTTGTGTGATCTCACTTAAATGTCACAAAAGCCTTCGTGTCAGCTGTCCCTCCTTTTTATCCAAATGAAAACTTCAAAAAATTTTGAAATTTAAAAACTGAAGAGTGACACCGTCCCATAGATGATATACATATATATTTTTTAATTTCAAAAACAAAAATTTGTCAAAATTGCAACTGAATCCACATGACTTATAATGAGCCTGCAGTTCGCAGAATTCAAATTCACAGAATATTCAAACTGAGGTAAGTGATTAGACAGCTAATGAAACCACAGCAAACTGTTGGTACTTAGTAAGAAGGGATGTTAGCCTTATCGTGATCTGACTGTTAGAAGCCTAGAGCCAATAGTAACATTCAAAACACAACAAGAAATGTGACTCAAACAGTCTCACTTGGCATCATAGGTGTGGGATTTGCCTACATGTGCCACAGTGCAGTGGAGGAGAGCTTTATGCGTGTAGTTTCCAGGAACTCAAGGGCAAGGAAGGGTCCAGAAGCCCTGCCTCATCAGCAAATCAGCCGATCTCTGGCAGAGAGTAAGCACACTGTGGCGCAGTCACGGAGCCCTGAGCCCCGCAGGCCTTCAGAGGACGCCCACCCTGCCCATCCCTCCACTGGCAGCACAAAGGACATTTGTTAAACTCCAATGTTGTAAAGAAGGCAGAAACAACTTAAAGGAGACCCACCATTTCCTCAGAAGTCTGAAGGGCAACCATGTGAATGAGACTGATCACCTCTGGGTTTTTGTTTGTTTGGTTTTTGTTGTTTTTGTTTTGTTTTTCAGAGGGCAAATGAGTGGAAGCCACTAGGAGGCTGATATCTGTTCAATATAATGAACACCCTTCTAGCTTGAGCCCTTTCATTCTTTAGTTTTCACAAGGAATGATCGAAAAGTTTGCCAGATGCTATAAAGTAAAATAAAGTTAGTGCCCTGATGCTTAATGAGAAAATACGAAAAGTATTCCCATTAATTAAGTCAAAGGGACAGACATGAGGTTAAAAAGTTGGGAGATAGGAGGTAAAATTGTTACTATTTGCAGATGATATGACTTTATTTAGAAAACATAAGAAAATTAGCTGAAAAACTCTTACATAATAAGAAAATTCATTAAGATGGCTAGGTGTGAAACTAATATAAAAAATCAAAAGCCTTCATATACAAATAACCAAACAAAGATAAAACAAGAAAAAAGAGCTGAAAAACCCTTACATAATAAGAAAACTCAGTAAGATGGCTAGGTGTGAAACTAATATACATAAGAAATGAAAGGCTTTCATACAGCCCTGACCGGTGTGGCTCAGTTGGTTGGGTATCCTCCTGCAAAGTAAAAGGTCAATTCCTGGTCAGGGCACATGCCTGGGTTGGGGGTTTAGTCTGCAGTCGGGGTGTGTGCCGAAGGTAACTGATCAATGTATTTCTTTCACATCAATGTTTCTCTCCCTCTCTCCCTCCCTTCCCCTGTCTCTAAAAATAAATAAATAAAATCTTTTTAAAAAAGCCTTCATCTACAAACAGCTAAATAAAGATATAACAAAAGAGAGACCTTATTTAAATAGTGGCACCACAAAGACCCCCTAATAGCCAAAACAATCTTAAGAAAGTAGAACAAAGTTAAATGTATCACACACCCTGATTTCAAACTATACCACAAAGCTATAGTAGTCAAAACAGTATGGCAGGGAGCACAGGGTACCTGCAGGCCTCTCCTCATGGCTCCACCTGGAGGGCTGTGCCAGACTGGTGCCATGAAAGAGCAGCAGGAGCAGAAAGCACTATTCCACCAGGAGTTGGACACGGAAGCAATGAGCTTATGTCATGTGATTGGCCCCCTCCCCAGGCCTCAGCACTCAGTCGCAGAACCCCCATGTCCCCTCATAGTTGAGCCTGAGTGATCCCCAGTTTCTCCCCTGCCCTCTCCCTCCACCCTATTTTCCTGCCCTAGTTGCCAGAGCTACTTCAGCAATGGAGCCACCATCCTACCTCGGGCTTGAGGCATCCAACCCCCACCCCAGAAATGTGGATCCCACCTGTGAGGAAGACTGTCTCCAAGAGCACCCCAAAACTAGTAGGTGGCAGGCAGTGTGCCCCTCTCATCTCAGGTGGCTGGTACATGAGGGGAAGGACAAAATGGGTATCTTGGAACATCCAGATGGCACAGTTTTGAAACAACTAAAGCCACCTCTAAAGGGCCCAAGAGAGCTAGAATTCTATAATATGGTTTATGCTGCTGATTGTACTGATGGTGTTCTTTTATAACTATGAAAATATTTGCCAAAATATTACAGCATCTGGTCACCTCCCAGTGCACCAAATGATATATACATAAAACTAGATGAGATGACCCATAAATTTAATGAGCCCCATATAATGGATGTGAAGATAGGGTGAAAGCACTATGATCCTTTTCCCTCATCTGAGAAGTTTCAGCAACAGGTCAACAAATGCCCACTAATGGAGGAGATCGGGTTCTTGGTGCTTGGCATGAGGGTTTATCACACTCATGCTGATCGCTATAAGACACAAAATCAGCACTATGGTAGAAGCTTAACAAAAGAAACTCTAAAGAGTGGAGTTTCCAGTTTTTTTTCATAATGGATTCTGCTTAAGAAAAGATGCTGTTGCTTCCAGTATTCAAAATATTGAGAGTATTCTGCAGTGGTTTGAAAGCCAGAAGCAGTTTAACTTTTATGCAAGTTCATTACTATTTGTTTATGAAGGTTCACCTCAGCCAACTACTACAAAATCAAATGACAGAACTTTGGCAGAAAAGTTTTTGTCCAAAGAACAACTCTCAGACACATATGCACTAGAGTATAATAATAACTTTCAAGTGTTAAGTTCCACAGCGAATGGAAAAATAGAGGCTTCAGTAGGCCAAAGCTTGTCCAAGATGTATGCTCGTCACAGAAAATGTATTCAAAAAAGTATCACAATCAGATGTCATTGAAAGTTGAAAATATAGCCCTGGCTAGTATGGCTCAGTGGATTGAATGCTAGCCTGTGAACCAAAGGTTCTATTCCCAGTCAGGGCACATGCCTGGGTTGCAGGCCAGGTCCCCAGTTAGGGGCATGCGAGAGGCAACCATACATTGATATTTCTCTTCCTCTCTTTCCCCCTCCCTTCCCCTCTCTCTAAAAATAAATTTAAAAAATCTTCTTTA